GGAACTAATATTAGGATGCCATATTTGAGTGATAAACCGGACCTTTGGGGGATTAAATGGGTATGTTTCTGGTATTTTTATCTCTAGTTGGTATCTTCCTCCTTCATGTGGTGTGTCTGGAGGTCCTGCTAATTCTCCTCTTACTTCTGTAAAATTCTCATCTAGGAGATCTACTTTGATTTTTGCTCGTCTCCTCGCTCTTCAGCACCTCCTTGAACTCCCGTTTGATTCGCTGCAGCGAGATGTTGGCCATGTCTCCGCCCTCAGCGGATTCGTGCCTGCCTCCTTGCCACCTCTATGACCACCACCACCTTGGCGGCCACCTCCTCCTCCTCCGCCTCCTCCTCCCTCGGTGATTCAGACCCGAGCACCGGAACAGGGCCACTGCCACCCTTTCCGCCACGCTCTCCTCAGTGTGGAATCACCTCTGCGCCCGTCCACAATAATGGCGCCGGGGATCCTGATTGTTATTTCTCTCTCTCAAGGCTAGCACTCTACCACTGGATTCGCAGTTGCTCTTCTGGATTTTTTAGTAGGTAATTGGAGGTAATAGTCACAGACTTTCTTCTCAGGTTAGCCTCATACTGCAATCCTCAAATCTCAGCCTCCTGAGTCGCTAGGATTACAGGTGTGAGCCACCATGCCCAGTGAATAACCAAGGGCTGTGGTTGTAGCTCAGTGGAAGAAGACTTGTGCTAGCTCTGGGTACAAATCCCCAGCCCCAGAAAAATAAAAGTAGAATGAAATCCGGTCTGGAAGTGCATGTTATGACCCCATAACTCTGTAGGGTTTGGCTCACTTAATACAGTCATTTACACTCAGCCCTGATCTGAAGGAGATTCCCTGTGCCTTAGGGAAATGCTTCCCCATCCTTAAGCAATGAGACAGGAAGAAAGGGCAAAACCTGAGTGCAGCATCCAGCCATCACTTCTGTGTTTAACATGCAGATAGAACAAGAAAAGTGCCAGAATGTGTAAACAAAAACAACAAGAAAGAAACAAAAACCCCAGCGTGACAGGATACATTATTTTTTGAAAAAGAAGGCAGAACTCTGACAACAGCTTCAGCGCTGCCTGTGTGGACAACTGCTTTAAGAGGCAGCAAGCAGGACTAGCCCAGCAAGGCAGGTGGATGATGATGATCTGCTTCCTTAACAATCCATGCCTGACACCTGCTCATCCTCACATGGGCCCTATGGACACATGACCCTCACCCATGTTCTAGCCAGACCCCGGGATTCCACCCCCACCACCATCCCCACCAACACCAGCAGCGCCAGCTCCAGAAGCAGAAGCAGGGACCCCGCGCCCGGGAGCACAGGCAGAGTGGAGCTTTGTTGGAGCACTGTTAAGGTCTGTTGGAGCATGGTTCCTGCTAGGCCTTAGCAAGCCCCGCGCTGAAAGTTTCCTTCCACTAAACGTGCTGTGGTGTTGGCAGAGATTTTCCTTCCCTGCTGGAGTCCGTCCCCGCCCCATGTCCAGCTGGCTGGAGTGAAGGCCGCCAGCCAGGCAGCTTGGAACCCACAAGGAGCAGCATTGGCTTGGGGTGTGGACAGCAGCTGGGGGCGGGGCGGGAGGTACCTGGGAAGGCACAGCTCATCGCAGCCACAGGAGCGGGCTTGCTCGGCAGGGAGGCGAGGGCGGGCGCCTTGGGCGCCTGGAGTCAGCAGGAACCGACCTGCAGGGCCTGGAGGAGGAGGAAGGCATGAGTGGCCATAGTGAAAGTGAAGCTGGCATCTGCCCCTCAACACAGCTGCAAAGCTGGCAACCAGGGCTGTGCGGGAGCCGCGACGCTAGAGGGCGCCACCCGCCCTTTGAAGGCCGGGCCGCGGAGGGGCGGTGTTTCTGGAGCTGCAACTCGGGTGTCCAGCTTGCTAGGCTGGTGCTCTCCCCCTTGACACTCACGTGGAGTCCTATTAAATCTTCGTGTAAGTTTTTACATTTTCGGGGAGGGGAGGATCCTGTCGTGGGGGCTCAACTCTGGGCCTGGCGCTGTCCCTGAGCTCTTCAGCTCAAGGCTAGCACTCTAGCACTTGAGCCACAGCACCACTTCCAGATTTTTTCTTTTTGCTTACTTGGTGCTGAGGAATCAAACTCAGGGCCTCATGCATGCGAGGCAAGCGCTCTACCACTGAACCACCTTCCCAGCCCCTTCAGGTAGTTTCTGAGAAAGAGTCTCTTCAACTTTTCTGGTCAGGGTGGTCTCAAGCCTTGATACTTCTGCACTCAGCCTCCTGAGTAGTTAGCTTTATAATCATGACAATCAGCCAGGGGTTGGTGGCTCACAGCTGTCATCCTAGGCACTCAGGAGGTTCAGATCTGAGGTTGGTGATTCAAAGCCAGCCCTGAAAAGAAAGTCTATGAGACTCTGATCTCCAATAAAGTACTAGAAAAAGCTGAAGTAGACTGTGGTGTAAGTGTAGACTGCTAACCTAGCCTTGAGCCAAAGAAGCTCAGGGACAGTGCCAAGGCCCTGAGTTCAAGCCCCAGGAAGGAGAAAATATATAGTAATGTAAATGAAATAGTAGAATTTACATTATATTAATACCTTTCAAATGAAATATAATATGATTTATTTTATAATACTGTGAATTAGTTAATGCTGAGGGATTAAAATGGTTGTTTTATGTGAAGTATATCTTATTGAGGTTACTAAGAAAACTATGCACTGTATAGGCACTGCTGGCTCACTCTTGTAATCGCTTAGGACTACATCGCCCTGAACGAGGACTTGAGCTCCTGGACCACGGCCGACATGGCGGCTCAGATCAGCAGGCGAAAGTGGGAGGAGGCGGGTGTGGCAGAGCGCCAGAGGGCCTACCTGGAGCACACGTGCATGGAGGGGCTGCGCAGATACCTGGAGCACGGCAAGGAGACGCTACAGCGCACGGGTACCAGGGCCCGGGGACTCCTCCATCTCCTGTGGAAGTCCCCCTCCACTCCCACAGCCAGAGAGGAAAAGGGACCCAGCCCACCACACCCCTTCCTCTGCCCACCACACCCCTTCCCCTGCCCACCACACCCCTTCCCCTGCCCAGAGGACCATGAGCCCCTGCCTTTCACATGCTGTGTCATGTGGAATCCA